TTCATAGATGTTTTTGTGCGGTTTTTGGTTACAAGAAAAATTCAAAAATTTGTAGGCTAAACTTAAATTTCTCATGTTGTTCTCATAATAAGTAAACTGTTGTCGCAATAATATATTAGCCTGTTGTAAACTGTTGTTTTATTTTTGTAGTTTGTGTGTATTTTTATCAAACTTTGCGGTTTTTTTATTTTGAAGCTACCAATATTTTAAAAATTCACACTTCATTGCCCTCCTTGGAGCAGCAAACCTAGGTAATCATTAAACCTAATGTTATTTAAAATTATTTAGGTGAAAATAAAATCAGGAAATGGAAATTCACTTAGGCAGCAGGTTTGCTATAGCGAGGGTATTTTCAATCACAATATTAGCATTATAAATACATATCATAAAAGCTAAAAGGTGACGTAAATTTATTAATTTATCAATAAACTATGTTGATGAAAAATGGATAGGTAAGACTAAATTAGAGCTAAAACTATAAAGCGAACAGCAAAGACGAATTGAATTATGTATTTTAGATTTCAACGAGAATATTCGTTACTTTGATGAAGCAGTAAAAGAATCTTGTCTCTTCAATTTATTAATTAAAGACAATCTATTTACACTGAATCTCAAATCTTACAATTTGCTGAATATTGCAACTCTTATAATCTCTTTGTTCTCAAACTCTTAAATCATCATATAGTTTTAAACGTATTTTTCCGGTACAAAACTGTTGATGGATCATATTTTTTTACCAAATAATTTAAATGCTATGGATAAAAAAAAGTTAAAGTTGTGGAATTTATCATTGGTGGTCAGGTAAAATATAAGAAATCTTTGAAATTGTATAGGATGTATCTCAAATTTGGGGACTTCGTTATAATATAAAACATGATAATTGTTTTATAAATATATTATTGTAAATCTTAATTATATTATTTCACAAACAGTACCCTTGCAATAAGGTTTCATAAAAACCTGCTTTTTAGCGAATTTCCATATTTCTTTTTCTATCTCGTTCTTAACGTCTTTTGTTTTAAATTTTAAAATGCATGGACCAGAGAAAATCGTTCACAAATGAAAATGTAGAATGGCACTAGGGCCACAACAAAGACAACTATTGCAATGAAGGGATTAGCATATCGGGTGTTAAATAAACATAGGCTTAAACAGTGACAGGGACATGTATGAGTGTGGATATTGATTAATGGTTCAACATATTAGTCGTGTTGAAGGGGCTTACAGAGTGTCGTATGGATTGCATTTAATCTAACTGAAAATAAATGTTATATTTACAAAGCATAATTGGACTTGAATTTAAATAACCAGTTTGAAATGTATGCATTATTTTTGTTGCATCGTAAAAAGACGTACGTTCTAAGTGACGATGAATTTTACCACTTTGTTACGTTGGCGTAGAAGGGCCATGGAGTAACATTTTTTTTGTAAAATTCTTACTTTAATCTCAAAATTTTGACTTTTTATCTCAAAATGTTGACTTTTAATCTCAAAGATGTAGTTATTTTTTACAAGTACAACCAACCGATCGACAGTATGACCAACATAACGGCACAAGCGGCAATCTTGGATGGCACGCTTATGTTCAACCAGAGAGTAGTGACTCCAGTCTAATCTATTCATCTCTATGGTTATAGTAGGCCTACTTACGTAGTTTGGTGGTAATTTAACACTCAAAACCAGATTATTTAAACAGTAATTGAGCTCCTGTAAAAGCGCTTGCAATAAATACGACGTTGTAGAATTAAATGAATTTTGAGATTAGGTCAAAACTTTGAGAATAAAAGTCAAAATTTTGAGATTAAAAGTCAAAATTTTGAGATAAGAGTCAAAATTTTACAAAAGAAATGTTACTCCATGGCCCTTCTACGCCGTCGTACTTTGTGGTGCATTAAAATTACTAATTTACTTAAATATTTTGACCCCAACGTTGGGCGTTAACCACCCTATTGAAAACACATGCATTATAGGAGTATAATTTTATACACTTCGTCATTTTGAAATAAATAATACATAACACATCCAAAAAAGTATTTTAAAACTACACGAACTACGATACAAGGAAATTAGATAGAAAATTCTGAAATACAGAAGCTTTATTTTCACATTACACTCTACGAAAGAACAGGTGCTTTCATTAGTTGTGATAGTTTTATGTTGCATCATCTAAGCTTTTATTTGTCGATTGAAAATTTCCTTTATTGTATCAAGCTTTATCACCTTGTTGTTCTACCAGAAATGAATTAAATATTTCATATCAGTTTCTTATATGTTGTTCAAATAATAACAAATGACACACATTTAAGACAAATTAGTTACTTATATAGGCTTACCTCCGTCAGTAGTCCAAAATTGTGTCTTTTTCAACTAATGTTGTTCAAAGCTTACATGTTTCGTTGCACTGCAACATCGTCAGAGCTTTTTGTCAAAAACATCAAATGATTTATACATAAAACAAAACACGGAACACGAAACATTTAAACACGTAATAACACGATAGCGCTATCGACACGGCACGGCAGCGGTTGTAGGTAGACTGCCGTGTCGATAGCGCTATCGTGTTATTACGTGTTTAAATGTTTCGTGTTCCGTGTTTTGTTTTATGTATAAATCATTTGATGTTTTTGACAAAAAGCTCTGACGATGTTGCAGTGCAACGAAACATGTAAGCTTTGAACAACATTAGTTGAAAAAGACACAATTTTGGACTACTGACGGAGGTAAGCCTATATAAGTCATTATTCGTAGTCCAGGGGCTATCAGAATGAATAATACAAATTAGTTGTTGGGATTGGCCGTCTGTTTTGAAAAACTTTCTTGAGTCGTGTAGATATTTTTTGCTCATTTTACTTTACTTGTCTCCAAAAGGATAGTAAAAGTGATATGAGTAACTTAGATTGTTTAATTAAATGAAAAAAAAAATAATAAAATATCATTTAATTGAATAACTTGAAGAAACGTTTTGGTAAAAAATAATGTTTATTAAAATATCCGTTTGTTAAAAATTACGTAATAAATACTTAACTATTTACCAAACTGAACAATAGATTGTGTAAACAAAAAAAAATCACGATAAACCACTTGCCATTTAAAAGAAATAAAGACCCTGTAAAATCTCTTCCACCATAAATAAAATAGCTGTATATTTTATGTTAATTAAAATAGTTCTAAATAGCTTATGCTGAAATAGTTTTAACTCCTTTATAAATACAACAGTAGCTCAAGACTTTATCCATCATCTTATCTTCCTAGCGGAGATATTTCATTGTAAACCTGTTGTAAATTCTACTTGACATTGAAACATCTTAGTCATCATGTTGCAATGTTGCCTTTATGTATCGTAGTTTATGTTTTTTCACCATAATTACAGTTTTTACTACTTTATGGTGAAATAGTTAAACTTGTATACAGGAACTATAGTTTGGTTATCATTACTTTACTCATTTAAGTGAAGATATGAGTAGCCTAATTCCATCGAAGTTGCCTTTGTTCTTTCAGTGGTTCATTGCGTTATTTTTCATGGACATGGTGCTTTTCTGAAGAAAATAATTTAATTTACTTGTTCATTCCAATAAAACTAGGATTCACAAATAAAAATAAAGTGATACATTATTTTCAGAAAAAAAAACTTTACTAAAAGTCAGCCATACAAAACAGACCACGTACATGTACTATTAGACGTTACTCGAGGATAATACTGACCTAATGAGCATTTGTCCCGAAACCCCAATATCGATTCTAAAGCCGTTTCAATGACTGTAGGGTTTATTTTTTCCTTAAAATGTACTTGTCGATACACACAATTGAATCCATACAGATGTACAAATTTTATATTCATTTTCAAACCACACTAATAAAAAATATAATTAGCAGACACACAGCAATATAGTACTGGACACTTTTTAAGTACCTAGATTATAATTTAAGCACTACAAACTTAAATATGTACTCTGTAAATTGGTTATAGTCATAAAACTAGATTTAGTAGGAGTCTGACGCCCAACTTTACCAATAAGCTTTTAATTATACTGTATCTAGAGCCTAATTTTTTTTAATTGCTCTTATAGGATATTTATAAGAGTCATTTCAAAGTTGAAAAAAGTCAACTGTCTCAATATTTTAACATAAACTTTTCATAGAGTCGCATTACCCTTCATATTTAGGTTTTTTAACTATATATAAGAAGTGTGTGTTAAAGGGGTATCAATATCGTTTAGTACCTGTTAAAACCTCTTTAATTACATTTTAACATTCAGATTAATTCATTACATTCAGATTATTAGAAATAGGTATATTTTATGAATTTTTTTTTAAAACCCCAATTTAAATTTTAAATAAATCTTTTAGCCACCAAATACTGAAAATACATGTATCCTTGTGAGAAAAGTATGTGTATTATAAAAAAAAAAATAGCCGCCACTCTTTCACATCGCGCTGTCATGGTTAGGGTAGATTAGTTTAGTATAGTTCGATGTAGTCTATGATAATGACAAAGTGACATTTACAGAAACAAAAGTTGTAGTTTTGTGTATTTTTTCAAAAATACAAATCGACTAAGTTGTCAATTTGTATTTGTATTCCTTTGCATGAGTTTAGAGAAAATGTGAGAATTGTAAATAGTACATTTTTTTGTTTTGATCGTGAACCAAACTTAACTAAACAAACCTAACCTAAACACCATAGCACTCTATGAAAGAGTGGCTGCATTCTTCTTTAAAAGGTCCAGTATATTGTACTTTAGCCACAACGAAATTGAAATACCAAGCCACAAAGACAACCTTCAACCATCAATCGACATGAATTAATTCATCCAAGAACTCAATGACGCGTTCCCAGAATTAAACACTGAAACATATACTTACCTCCGTACATCTGGGAAATTCCCCTATCACTGATAATTGCAGAAATATGGCGGGAAATGACCAGCTGATTGTGGCCTGCTGTAGTGTACCCTGCTATGACGTCACCGGTTCTGCTAGGTGGGGGTCTGTCTGTCTGGTCAGCGAGCGATAGTCAGTGTTGGTGCCGGCATGTCAGTGGACTGCTACGAACCGAGTTGTTTACGTTTGTGTGTCAACTTTTAGGTTTTATAAGTGAAAAGGTTTTCCCAGATTGGTGAGTAAGAATTATTTTGTTTAGCGTACACCACAAAATAATCAAATATAACATTGTATAGTGTAAAAGTAGATTTAATGCTGGAACAGAAATGCACCTTGTCAACAAAAGTTAAAAGTATACCAATCTTTTTTAATAACATATTGAAACGCTGGATAAATATTATTTACTACCGATGCGTTATTTTTGTGCACGTAAAAATTAAGTACAGTACGATCCAAAATCTCAAAAAGTTGGCCAAAGTCAAACATTTTAGGGATAATGAAGGGTTATGTATTCTTTCATTTAGCAAAAACGTGCTTGGTAATTCTTCTGGAATTATTTACTGATTCAAATCTAGTAAAGCCTTGTGTTGATTCATTTACCTGTAGCCTAGCTCAAAGCGAACGCATCATTGTTCTATGTCAAGAGTTTGGTCAATGTTCTCGTATTTCTGTGTGATACCCATCTTATTGTATATCCCAAAGCTAGTTTTATAGAAAAATGATTTAATGTTTGTGCTTCCCTACGGTCAAGCTTCTTCAAATTTCATAAAACCAACTTCTATAGAGCCTTATTTTAACGCGAACCTTCTCAAAAGTGAATGAAAACTGTAGATAAAATTCTGAAACAATAAACTTATCAATTTAGTATGTTTAATAAGAAAATATACAGCATATACTAAAGTTAAAACCTACAGTTAGTGACTGCCACAACAAAAGGAGTATTGTATCTTCCGTTGCCTAAGTACAAGACGGCGCTACCAACTTATGCTCTGCTTGTTGAGAGTTGTTAAGATAGTTGCCGTCATCTTAATTGATGAATTAATTTCGACTATTGAGTCAGCCGCATGTTTTGACAACAATGGTTAATTAGTGGGACACTTTTAGTCTTAACTAACCTTCAAATGTAACACGCTCAGTTCGTGCGTTCCCGTATCCGTGTTTGTTCTCTAAAGTCAACTGGGATGTTGTTTGCATCTACTATTCTTCTCTAAGTTCTTTGAGCTTACACACTCAATGTTGGTTACGTGTAATTTTTAAAAAGTTCAAAACATACTATTTAATATCACGGTGTTGTTTAATTTGTAATTCACAATAGTTTTAATGTTAATTTTGGTTTTTATAATCCTAGAGTACCTATTTCAAAAATTTATATTTTCTTACACAATATTACTAAAAAATTAAAATGTAATACTATTTTCCTAAAAAAAAAACACAGCAATATCTGAATCAGATAATGTACATGACTCCACAAATCAACAAATAACTTTTATCCACATCACATTTGTTTTTCTTAAAAAGTGCAAAATTACCCTACTGCTGAAATATCCCGATTCGTTCTTTTGGAAGAACAAAAAAAACCAGCCCCTAAAATATTGAACCACTACAATATTGTACTACTACATGTAATGTATGTAGAACTAATGGGTGTGGTCAAACTATTTGATTGGTAAACATGTAATGACTAATATTTGGACCAATAATTAAGTCCCGTTATGAGCAAACCAAACACACAAGCACTGTCGCCACCCAATTATGTAGGGCATTTCTATATTTTTTTTAACTTTACCAAGCATCAAAAAATTGATCAAACGAAGTGAAAAAGCTAAAACTCTCATATTTCTTTACTTTTCTGCAACATATTAATTTAAGGACTACTAATCTATTATCGTTAGTATCGTAAGGCGATTCTTTGCAAAAAAAAGTTGTAAGCTGCACCTGGAAAGTCGTAGAATAGTAGGAGATGGCTAAAATTAAATGTCTCTATTCCATGACGTTGGGTGAATAAAATGTTCACATGAGATTAGATACAACATAAATTTGTTTCCGTGATTATAGCATTGAAAGTTATGAACAACGGATTAGTTATTAGTTCAAAACAAGTTATGCTGCTATAGTCTTCTATCTATCTAACTTTTTTCATTTTTGTTCAAGTGGAAACAAAACACATTAATTTTATTGAAACTATTCCTATATAAATATTTTATTATGTAAGATGATTATTTGTAAAAAACATTGTGGGTGACTGGAAACTTTTAGAAATATGGGAGAGGTCTTACCAAAATGACAACACAAAATTAGATGTAACGTAAATAAAACAGGTCTCAGATAAAACCGTTGGTATCTTCAATTTAATCAAAGTCAAACCTCAGCACGATGTATAATAGTTTACCACAGACAAAATGATACAAAACTATATAGGTTTGTCTTAACTTTGTTTGAATCAGACTAATTGGCTTGTAGTATCACTATCATTAATAAGTCACAAAATCCAAACTTTCAACATAGATGGGATATAATTACGTAAATCAGTTTTAATTTACTCAGAGATAATAAATTAATCAGAAAAAGTTAATTTACTCAGAGATAATTATATGTCGCTTTAGCAGAGTTCAAACTAGAATTAGAATATTCCCACACAAAAATATAGTGTACGGCGAAATCATGATAAGTAGATAATTAGTTTATTTCTTAATTTGGCCAATTTAATATATTACAATATTTTTTTACATGGGTTAGGGGCTTCTTTCCCCTACAAGCCACTGGTAATTCAATAAAAAAAATAAAATACTGTATGAGTCAATAATTGTGTTTACCTTTAAATTGAGCTACCAGATCTTGTTTATATTTTTGCATTCTATCTCTATAAGGCTTTCTTTGTCTAGGTGTAGGATTGTCACAAATATTTAACACATCTTTATAGTTAACGTCAGGTAAAAAAAAATTTCTTCATTTTCCTTAACGCCCGACTTCCAGAACCTCCTATCAAACCTGGACCTGACCAGTCAGATTCCGACCCCGTACCCTACACTAGACACCCGACGTGTAATCATCTCCCTCCACGACGTATAATCTCCCTCCACGACGTATAATCTCCCTTTCCACGACGTATAATCTCCCTCTCCACGACGTGTAATCTCCCTCTACCACACCAGCCCCCGGCCACACAATTAAACTCTGTCTTAGACTGATATTGACTGGGGCTGTTTAGTGTTTACACACCAGATAATTTGTATTGGAATTGATTCTAATCACCTGCATGTCACCATCACCATCAGGTTATTGATGAACGTTCAATTACTCAGTCGTCAAAATGTTGTTTTAATTGTAAATACAAGAAGGAGTAGAGTTGGGGTAGTAATGTAATGTTTAACCTATTACAAATTTAAATTTATACCAATGCGGATTAGCCCTTCATGCTTTGTATCATAGATTTTTCTAGGATTAAACTGATGTTTAGACAGACAAATACGATGACTCGTGTTTCAAAGTCAAAGCCTGCCTTCGTCTGATAAGAGGAAATAAGAATGGAGGGTGTATCCGGGCTGTGACGTGTGGTCAGACTTGGATAATAGTTGATTGATAAGAACTCAACAGGAATACAGATTATGCAAGCTAAGCACACATAGCATGTTTATCCACAGTATATCGGTACAAAGATTTCTAACGTTATACTAGTGCAAACTGTGATTCTTAATCGCCTTTGAACTGTGGGGTTTTATTTTCTTTTGTCAATAATTTTAGCGATGGAGATAAATCTATTATAATCAATTTCCAAATTAAAAAAAAACCTGGAACTAGAATGTCAACAGCTGATGTGTCACATTTGGAATCAACAACGCATTCTGGGTAAAAGTGAAAAGACTAGGCGAACTTTCACCTATATCCTAAAGCAGTTTTTAACGACAGATTGATTCTGGTTTGGATTGCAAGAGAAAACTATTTCTACTAGACTTTTTTTAAATTACGTAAGGTTTATCAGAAGGAAAACATGAGTAAGGAAAAATTGCATTTTCTTATTGGAGTTCTCTTATCGCTAACAATTTGATACTCAATGTCTCCAATTATGTTTTGGGAGCGTTGTTAATATGCTCGTTGATTACAATATTCCTCAATTAGGTCTACTGTGAAAACTAAATGAAATAATTCTTTATATAGCCTATTACAGGAACTAGTGTCAATCTTCCTTATCATTTGTTTGCTAATTGGCCAAGCAGCTCGAGTAGGTATAACTCGTGGCACGTTTGTGTTGAAGGTCGATTGCAACTCGAAATAATCGCACTCGTCACTATTTTGGGCCTCAATCTGGCCCGGCGCCGCTCCACTCAGCTGTTGAAATGTAGACAACTGTAGAAACAAAAGTGTAACTATAAACAATACAAGAAACCTAGGTTTGTATCTTGCGTACCACCGTACCACGTTGAAACCCAATTTCAAGATCTATGTGAGTTTCAATGTTAATATATTGTGCAAAATATATAAGGAGAACATTCGTTAAGAGTCCTTGGAGCCTAGGACTCATACAACTATTAAACGAACTACAAAGAAAATATAAAATTTCACAGTGCACTTAAATTAAAATTACTTTGGTGTTTGAAAAATATTTTGTGATTGCAAACTCTTCAGCGGCTGTTTGAAATTAACTAAATTAACATTGTTCTTATAGCGAGCAAATTCAAGATTACCGTTGGCTTCCGTTAACTCCCTTGGAAAACAATTCAAAACTAGAAAAGAAAATGTATAATCGCACAGTGTCCTACATATTTCAAAGTGTTTGAAAATATTTTTGGATGATAATTAACTCTTCAGCAGCTGTTTGAAACTATCCAAGATGGCCACTAGCCTCCAAGAACACTTAAGACTCTTTTTTGTCCGCGACAACGCAGTTTTAGAATTGTAGATTGACAGCTGAATGATATAATTACATTCACACGAAGCTGGGTATATCTGCTAACTATTTCAGTTTGGAGTAGGGAATGGGACACTTGCTCTTTGATGACTCTTCAAGGAGATTGCCCAGTCCTCTCAATGTAATCAAAGCTGGACTTAATTAGCCTAACGCCTTGGATTTACCTTAAGGAGATCTTAATTGTGCTTTGATTTGCATTTTATTTCTGAAAAATTACGCAAAGAGATTGTAGGTCCTGTTAAGTTGTTAAGTTTTTTCGGAACTTTTGGTCGAAACTGTTTAAAGAAACCATACTTCACTTTGTATTCATAATTTTAAGCGTTGGTAAA